TTTTTGTTCTTATTACTAGTGTTAGGAGTAGTTTTTGTTGAAAATATCCACGCATTAATAAATAAAGACAAAATTTTAGTACATCAAAAACGTTGATTCAACCCTTTTTTTTTTTTTTTTCTTTTAAACTTGTTAAATAGAAAATGACTGAAGTCATTGAATTGTTAGATTTTTGATTGATACAGACTTAAAAACCTACTTCTCGAATGCGTTGCAACGCACCACACACCAGTGGTCTTCACTCTGCGAGGCAATAAACTCACGGCAATGGCTGGTGGTTCAAAGAAACGGAGGCGAGGTATGTATTCAAATGGGATTGGAAAACCCTTTTGAGTTTTTCTTCAATTTGTGGTTTCTCATTCAATTGCTCTCTGAATTTTGAAATGCCTTTTTCCTGTTGGGTTCCAACAGTTTGTAGCCAAAAGAAATTGACCATCATTTTTTTTTTTTAGTTAAGAAGAAAAGGGGGAAAAGGAAGCACGAGAAAGAAGGGATTACTCCTTTGAATGTGAAGTATTGGCTTCAAAGATACAAACTTTTCTCCAGATATGATGAGGGTATTAGAATGGACGAGGAAGGATGGTATTCTGTTACTCCTGAAGAGATTGCAATTGGGCATGCAGATAGGTGTGGTGGGGGACTTGTCATTGACTGCTTTTCGGGTGTGGGCGGCAATGCCATCCAATTTGCTAGATTGTAAGTCCCTCCTGCTCAATGTAACTGAAGAGTGAGACTTCAGCTACTTGCTTTTTCAATAAAAGTTAATTTGTGGTATGTGTTGTTGTATAGGTTATAATAAGTTTTGGTGATTAGGGGTTTCCTATTGTCCTTAATAACTGGAATAGATTTAGGTATCATTGGACTTCTTATTTGCAACTTGCTATTATCTAGTTCATGAATTTTCTTGACATTTTGGTTGTGTCTAGATTCTTCTGTTCTGTGGATACCTGAGGTGGACTGGGATAGTTTAAAGAATGCACCTTGCTTACATTATCTTTTACACTGTTTTTGGTTGGAGGGAGCAGAGGAACTTGTTTACAGCCACTATTCGCATTCATAGTTATCATTTTATCCTTATCTAGTTATAAGGATGGAGTTGTGAGGTAAATTAAATTTTCCTATGTATGCAAAAGGATGAAAGGTACAAGTTGTTTTCTCTCCATTCCTTTTCCTTCCTCTTAATCAAACTTCCTTCCTTAC